TGAAGAAGATGGTTGTGGAGTACTTGTTACTGTTTCTAATGACTTCTGTGGATTTGAATCTGATGGTAATTTTATGTTGCTTATCCTTGTTCTTAAAATGCTGAACGCCTTACTAAATTTATTTTCATTCTTAAACCCATATTTTTTAAACCTAGGATCAAGGATTGCCGCTTGAGAAATTATTTCATTGTCTTCAATTTCTTCGAAACGTTTTTTTTAGTTGAACTTTGAGAGAATTAGCCATCAGATTTACTTCATATGAAATATCAATATCTGAGACAAATGTTTCTACTGTATGGAACATAGAAGCCACTAGTACTATTACTTTTGAAATAGAAACAGTTTTCTCAGATCTAATTTCTTCAGTAACTTCATGAAATATTTGTAACACATCAACAGGTTTTTCTACTACTTCCCATTCAGCCGGTGTTAAAACTTGAATTGAACTTTGGAGTATTGCCAATGTTGATATTACAGCATTCTTAATGCTAATGATTCTTTTTAACATGTCATATGTCGAATTCCACCTCGTCACTACATCCTGTTTCAACTTTAATTGAGGCAAGCCCATATTTTTCTGTGCAGAATGTAATTATGCAATAGCGGAACTACTTTTTTAAAAAATTCTACAATACATTTTACTTTTTTCAGTTAGATATATGTTCCAAAGAATGTTGTACAACTAAATTTATAGAATGTGCAAAACATCCAATATGTCGATATTTCATTTCACGTACTGCTGCTGTTATATTTGGAGCGTTATCAGTAACTATAGCTACAATTTTATAATTGATGTCCCACTCAACCGTAATGTTTTTTAGGTAATTTGCCAAATTTGTTGAAGTATGTCTTTCATGGAAAACGGGTTTACCGTATACACAAGTCATAGTTTTCTAGTGTTAGTTAAGTGATAGAGTTTTATAAGGATAGATAAATTTTTGAACAGACCTAAACGTGATAATCCGGAATTTGATAGTTCTAATACTGTAAGAAAATCAAAACACCATAAATATGATGAGAGTTACATGGATTATTGTTTTACGTATACGGTAGTGGAGAATGAAAAACGTCCACAGCGTGTTATTTGTTTCAAAGTGATGGCTGTTGAAAGCATGCTCCCTAATAAAATGAAACGTCATTTTTAAATGGTACATGAAACTTTGAAAAACAATCCATGTACATATTTTGAGTCAAAATGAAAAGCAATGCTTGAACAAAAGACAACCTTTGCCAAGCATGCTAAGATCCCTTCTAAGGCTCTGCTTGCATCTTACAAAGTTGCTTATCAAGTTGCTAAATGTAAAAAACCACACACTATAGCAGAACAGCTAATTTTACCAGCAGCAATGGATATGGTGGCAATTATGCTGGGGGAGGCTGCTGCCAAGCAATTAATGAACATACGCATACCATTATCAGATACTACTATTGGTCGCAGAATACTTGATTTGGCTGAAGATATTAAAGATCAGTTGATAGATAAATTAAAAAGCAAGGATTTTTCTCTACAACTGGACGAAGCTACTGATGATAATAATAATGACCACCTAATCTGTTCCGTGAGATTTATAGATGGTGGCGTTTTTCACGAAAATCTTCTTTTTTGCCGAATTATTAAAAGTCAAGCTAGAGCAGTAGACTTGTTCCAAATGCTCGATTTTTTCATAACGGAAAATAATTTAAAGTCGGTGACTTAAAACACCTAATATCATCAAGATAATCACTTAAAAACTAAATTATATAAACCCTTAAAAACATTAAAAAACCAATCTCAACACACTTAACTAAAAAAAAAACAAATCTCCCTCAAATTCTTCTTTTTTCCCATTATATCTAAATTTAGATATTATATTACTTTTTGAAACTGCACTAGAGGATAACTTATTTTTTACCATCATCTATAAATTAATAAGCAAACACAAACAAAGTTGAAATAACACGACGAACCTCGTGACTGAGAATTGACCAATCCTAACGTTATCGTTTTGATCACACTCATTTCAAACCAAGGGTATCAATTAATAATTATAGTTTGTATTATCTGCAGAATTATTATTAAAACTTTGGATATTTTTATTGTCCCGTAGTCAGCCACGAGTTACGCACCGGATTTGCAAAACTAAACAAAATATATGACTTTAGTATTACTACCAGGGACCCCATAGAGGAGGGGGGAGGCTGTTGGACCTGGAGTTCAATTGTCCATTGAAATTAATTTGAAATTTTGATAGGAATATTTATTTTATATTAAACAATATTTTATAGGGCCCGCAAATACATTTAGTACAGGGACCCAAAATTTGATTTGGGAGGCCTGATTATTACTAGGTAACTAGGTGTTAAGTAATATAATACAAAGGCAACATTATACGGTTCTTAAATTGTGCGCAAATTGGATTTAAAAAAGGTAAATGAGCATAAATGAGTTGTAACCATCGTAAACATACAATATTGAATATTTAAAATCGTTTTTGTCTGTTGGACGCTGACTGCAACGACTTCAGTCGACAGTCGTTGATTGTCGGTGTCTGGTAAAAATTGTGGCTGTGTGAGAGGCAAGGATAAGGACACAGACACCAAATTCAAAATTTAATTTAGGTACCTATTAGATTGTATTATAACAAAATACTATTTTATAGGTAGAGGTAAAAATAATACAAATATACTATGAACCTTGATCTGAAATATTATCAGTAGTATTTATGATAGGTACTTGCATTGCAGACTTCTTTACGACGTTATTATTTAATTTCCTAATATCTTTTCGTACATTTGATTAGCGATCCCACAACTTTGTTCTATTTGGTCTAATATGTCCATTATATTTCTTGTAGGGTATAAAGTAAGTAAGTGCTGACTCATTTGGAAAAAGTTGAACAATACTTAGAGCAAGTGGCCGTATTGTACATACAGATAACTTTTCATTGGGATTCTTGTGAATATGGTAGTATATAATTATTCGTACAAGTTTATTTCTCATATTAAAAGTAAAAAAAATATTTATTGATAACTTCCATATACATACATAGATGTTTCCCTTCATGAGAAGAGATTAAAATTTGCTTTAGTTCTTGAGCAATAGGTTGGAGAATAGTCTGCTAAAAATAATCATCATATGATTAGAATTTTTAAAAATACATTTTTTTCTAACATAACTAGATATGGTCTTGAAAATTAACAACTCAAAAATAATCAAACATCGACATTGGCTACTTCTACTTTGTTGGAATTACTTAGTTAATATCCTGAATATTCTTGTTATTATCGTTAATAAATTCTACTGAAATATTAATGTTGCAATGTAAGTTAATGTGGAAACCTCCTATTTAAACACTTTGATAAAACGTATTGCAAGGGAGATTAGAAGAAAAGTAAGTTATACACAACATATATTCGATGTTCAAGAGATCACATATACATAAAACGTTTTGTATATTATAAATTAAAACTATAATATGATTAAAACAACTGAGGGGCCAAGGCTCTTTTTCAGTTAACTGAAAGACAAAAAACAAGAATCATATGTAGATATTTGTCGAATTATTGATAATTATTGTTTAACTTATAATAATGAGTTTAATTATTTAGAAAGCATTTATGTTGACTTTAAAATAGCTTTATATTATGCAATAAATTATGCTTGGCTGTTGTTTTAAAAGTGGTTGTCGGTTTCACCTTGGACAATCTTGGTATAGAACAATAAAAATGTTTGGTTTTTAGACCACGAGATTTTTACTTGAACGTATGCACCATTGAAAATATTTGTAAAATAATATGTGTAATAATATACGTATGTGCTGTGTACGGAACACTACTTTATTGCCACGTGCGACGCCAATAAGGAATGTTGATTTTTTTTTCCTACACATTTTAACGAATTGAGATAAATGGTGAAATCACAATTTGTACAATTAGCGAATTATTTTATTTCCTCAACACATTAAATTAGGATATTAAAAAAAAGATAAACACATTTCTGTTTTAATCGACATATTACTTGTTTACACATCGACATCGTAATTAGTACTATCGTCATTAGAACTGTCATAATCTTCGACGATTACGAAATTCTCGTTTTCACTGTGTGGCGCTAGTGAATATAAATGTCTGGCAAGTTAAAAAAATGTCGATAATAGATCAACTTTTTGGGCACGACATTGTTACAAAAACATCTCTTTTGCCAAGTTTCCGGCAAATTTATTGTTAAATTGTTTTTCCGATTGTATTGGGAGAACGATTCTTTCACATGCCTCCACGTTATTCGTATGAGTATGAGCATCAGTTTCGGGGTCCTTAAAATTAATGGAATGGTTCACTGTTTAGTGAGTATATCCTTCATCTTTTAAGTGGTCGTTGCTCTAAATTCAAATTTAAAAAAGTTATGCCACTTGGGCTTGTTACGATGAAATGATAAAATATGTAAAATAGATAATATGTTATGATGATGCTATTCTAACACGCATGGTATGGTTGACATAGGCAACTTAACGTGTACTACCTTAGATTTGACGGGGTAGGCAACTTATTGTGCACTGCCTTAGATTGACGGGGAAGGCAACCAGATACGACGACGATAGGAATGGACCAAAAGAGACTTAAAATTACGGGACCAAGGAAGTTGAATTTATGAACGGGAATAAGGAAGATGAGTTTAGTTATAAAGGGTAATGACCACCAAGCTCACATAAATCGGCCTAGTAATTTACTGTATCATATTATATAGTTCAAGTTCACAACACACGTCGTATGCAAAGATAATGTTTGAGATATATTATAAATCTACTATTTAGAACTATTTGAGTAACCATTATTACAAGATATATATATATATTGCCGTTGTTTTCTCCATTTTTCTGCAATTTTCAGAAATATTATTTTAGAATTTATTTTCACATCAAATTTTTAATCTCTATAGTTTGAACTTTTGAAATAAATATTTAAATATATTTATATAACCTGAAAGTATATAAAATAGCATTAAAGAAGTGTTAATTTGTTATTTAATTTTTATAAATTATATCTGCAAGATGGCGTCCATTTCAAAGCAAGCATTTGTGAAGGCGTCTTTTAAAACTGGTCATGACGTTTCGCAGAATATCCGGTGAGATTTGTTTCATCTCTTCTCGTATACCTTGTTTAAGATCATCAAGTGTCCTTAGTGGTGTTTGGTATACTCTACTTTTGATATACCCCCACAGAAAAAAATCACACGCCGTTAAATCAGGCGAACGTGGAGGCCATGGAATATTCCCATTTCGAGAAATTATGCGGTTCGGAAACAAATCTTTTAGAATATTCATACTCACTCTAGCTGTATGACTCGTAACCCCATCTTGTTGAAAAAATCCAGTCACTCCATATTGAGCAATTTGTGGAATAAAAAAATTTTGCAACATCTGTGAATATCGCTCTGAATTTACGGTGACTGCCTCTCCACGTTCGTTCTCGAAAAAATACGGCATTATGATTCCTGAAGAAGATAAAGCTCACCAAACCGTTGCTTTAGAGGAATGCAGTGGTCTCTGATGATGTTGACGAGGGTTTGTGTCACTCCAGTACCTAAAGTTTTGCTTATTGACGTATCCGGATAGGTGAAAATGAGCCTCGTCACTCATCCATAAGTTGTGGACAATATCTTCATTTTCATTAATCAAAGCTAAAAATTGTTCACAAAAACGCCTTCGACTGACATAATCATTTTCATTTAGAGCTTGAACCACTTGAATTTTGTAAGGATGATGATGAAGATCACATGTAAAATTCTCCTAACGGTTCGGTTAGATAATCTGAGTGTAGCGCTATGACGACGTGCCGACCGACGGGGGCTTCTTCCAATTGCTTCTCTTCCTCGTTCAATATTCTCTTGAATTTGAATATTTCGTTTTCTTCCACCTCTTTTTTTAATTGTTGTGCCACTCTGTTCAAAATTGTTCACCCATAATTTTATTGCGTGGGCCGACGGCACTGGGTGATTACGATTAATGCCGAAATGAGCGCGGAAAACACGCTGCGCTTCCACGAAACTAGAGCTGTTTAGATAAAACGCTTTTACAGCGAACGCGCGTTGTTGTGTAGTTCAATGATTCATGATAACTAAACGCTTATTTATGGTGAACATAATTGTATAGTTGTAGTACGCACATATCAATTACAGGGCTTTCCGTATTTATTTTTAAATCACCCGATTCACTGCCCCACCCTGTATTTAAGTTGCTACATAGACATTATATACACATGCAGTAGAGTCTATTATAGCTTATCAGGACATCCTGACAGACATAAAAAAATAAAAAATAATATTTTTATTCCTTTTTACGAAAAATACCGAAAAAATAGTTTTACCTATTCAAAACTTCTTTACAAAAGTTATAAAGCTGATTTTATCTGGAAGGCGTCCGGTTCCTTCAAATCCGAATCAACAAGACTATTACGACGTACTTATTTATGTATTATGACAACTTAGAATTTAATGTATACAAAGAGAGTAATTGGATGTCGCTCTGTTGTACAGTAGGTTACAAGTGGGTCACTGTATAATGGATTGTATTAAATTTGTATTCAATGGTACAATATATTAATGCTCTCCCAACTCCCAAGTGATTTTGTGGATTTTTTTTTCAAAATTTGTGTTTTTGCTAGCTTAATATGGTAGTTATTACTTGTTATATGCTACTATCTATATGTATAATATCTGAAAATTCGAATGAAGCACACCGATATCTGAGATTTTAATTTTTAGCGCTTAAATCTTTCACTAATTTAAATATTTAATCATCGGTTGTTATTAAAAATATCTAATGAGAATTGTATACTGTGTTTAGTGTATACTCAGCTACGTCAGTCAATATAGTACGAGATTCTGGGTTGTGGTGTCGAGTCCAACAGCGCTACTATAAATATCAATAAAATTGTATTTGTTAACAATTGGTAAAAAAAGCTTGAACATTAAATAGAAGGCTCCAAGTATATTGTTTCAAAGGCAGATGAAAAAAGTTAAAATCCAAAGTCACAATTTTTTTTTTTATAAGTATATAAAGTTCAAATGTTGCCAAAACACGTACAAATTTGCAAATTTTTTTGAGTTAGAAATTCAAGGAAAATTCTGTTTTTAAATCTCAGTTTTGAAAATGTAATACAAGATTCCTCTTAAGTTTGTTTACCTTTTTCAATAAACAAATGTCTACAAGAAAGTCAAATTAATTTTTAATGAGCGTATGAAATTCATATTTTTACAATATTTGATATTCACTCAATTTCTCAATAAAAATTTATTTGTCGGGTAAAAAGCGTGAAAATTAATGCAAGGCTCCTGATATATTGTTACAATATCAGTTGAAAAATTTTAAAAATACCAAAGCACAATTTTTTTATAAGCTTTTTAAGTAAAAATTTTGAAAAAATGTATCAAATTTAAAATGTAATAATTATTTTGTAGTTAAAAATGTATAAAATGTTCAACTTTTATAGCTAAGGATTGAAAATTTAAAACAAGGTTCCACATAAATAGGTTAGGTATATAATATCAATTACTTTAGTCACCTTAATATCATCATAGTAGCCGGACCGTTTTCGCTCAGAATTGTTTTTCTTATACAATGATATTATATCATGGATTTCAAATTTAACACCATCCATTATAGTGACCCACTTGTAACCTACTGTACAGCAGATCGACATCCACTTACCCACCTTTTTTAAAATTATATATTAATATATATACCTGCGGTGCCAAGATATAACCTTGCCGAAATGCCCAGCGCCTATATTTTTTTGAGCCAAAACACCCGATTCCCCACAATAGTACCTATATAATATATTGTTCGTATACACTTACAAACACGTCTTGACACACGCTCGTAAAAGTATTTAAAATGTATAAAGAATAAAAACAAATGCCACACAATTATATTTTATTCCAAAAAAAAAACTAAAACGCTGGCAAGAATTACAAGTTGAAGTTCTTAAGCCTCAACGTATCGTACCCGTTCCGACTAACCTTTCTTGGTCCACTCTATGTATCATACATTTAAGAGGACGCTAGTTGTAATATCTTACAAAAGCGTACGACATAGCATTTTTTCATTTACTAGTTTCAATAATGTACTGTTAGTTTTGATATTAGAGCGAATGGACCTATTATTAGCTAACTTTTCGGTAGGAACATATTATCTCATTGCGTCGGTGTTTTTTCGATATTTTTAATTATCAACCAATATAATGGAAATATCACTAATTAAAAATACTCATATATCGCTTGAAAATTAAAATATCGAATAAAAACCAACAATTAAGCACAGATAATGTTCTTAGGTACACAAGAGTTTGATAATAATATATAAGTCAATTACACGCGATTTTAAATTTATTTTAAATGTAGGTATCAGACAATCAACTCGTCAACTCGATATGTAAATTTAATAAAAGTGTTGTGGGTCACTGCCACAATATATTCTCTCCTCGTCGCCCTTCAGTCTTTCCCAGCGTCGGTTGACCTCACTGGTTTCACTAGCCGGTATGCCACGCTGTCTTGGTGATGATCTTACAATCGGGAAGTGACTCCCGTTTGACCTTCGAATTTTTTTTTTTTTCTAAAAGTTACCCGAATTGCCTCCCGATTTCAAAAATATTATTCACTCGAATTGCCTCCTATTTTAGGAAGTGACCCTCTTGTACTGGAATTTTCTGAGATAGCTATATAATTAATCAATTTACGTACCTACAGGGGTACGTAGTGGACTTTTCCAGGGTGTTATTAACCAGGTAGCACCCCGGGCCGCCATTCGTGTTTATAATACAGGTCCTGATTACCATTTACGGGCCTTTTCATGGGTGTAACACGATTGCGCCCGGCTTACCTATTTCCATTCAAAAAACGCAATACGATTGCGCTCGACCAATTAGCAATATTGCGCCCGTCTTTAACCTTTTTTACCTGTATAAAACGCAACACGATTGCGTTCTTAATAATTTTCCTTCCCAATTTTACAGGCTTAGGACTGACAACAAAATTAAATTGTAGGCTTGGTTAAAAATTTTGAGTTACAATATTTTTTTTTTTTTTAAATAATACTTTAATAAGCTCTAGCATAGATATTTCTTTTTAATTAAAAATGTCTAATTAAATATTTTTTTAATCATAATAATAATAAGAATAAAAATAATACAAATGTATAAATTACAATTATGTGCGCCACATATCTACATAATTAAATATTCAGTTGATTTTGACGTCAAAAAACAGTATATTAAAGGAATATAAAAACCGTTTTGTAGCGTATGAATTGTGTACAGTTGATCATAGTATTTTGGTGAATGTAAAAATGTGCCATCAGCAAAAATATGATTTGAACGACTTAATATATCCAGATTAGTTGGGCAAGTCAATACAACTATATTTGAAATTTCTTCCATGTAGCAAAAATATTCATCTAAATTAGTTTTAAGAGTATCGCGCAAGTTAAACAATTGAAATTTTGATTCTTCCAGTGATTTTGGAATTGTTGGTAATTTTTTTTACGGAAATCGTACATACTTTTTCTCCATAATTTGATATCAGAATGGACGGTTTGTAAATCATTTTCAGTGCTACGTAGTTCTTGTCGAATTATTTTGTTCGGCCTTGTGAATAAGTTGTTTTCACATTTTCTTTTAATTCGTGAATTTATTATTTGTCTACTAACGATATTTTCCGAAATATTTTCATGATTGTGTTCATTAAGCATGCTAAGAACTTTCGTAACATTATTGTCAACATATATACTCGATTGGCAATTTTTGTTAGTACACCGATACCGAATACTGCCTACGCTTTTAAGTATTTTATATTCCCTATATTTATGACCATTTACTAATATGGATGGTTTACCTTTCTCAGTCTCGAACTTTTTTGATATACATAGATCCATTTTTTACACTATTATTATTTTCACGACGATACACTTTACGGAACAGCTAGTGAGTTAAACACGGTTTAAAATAGTTAACAGTCAACAGCCAACAGTCAATTGCAGCTCAAATGTAAAATCCGATCATGACACTATCATTGATGCACACTGATATCTGCAGTCCATGGATAATAAGATAAATATTAACAATAAAACATTATCACGATTACTCGGTTGTACATATGGGGAAATCAAGTCCAAGGAAAACCAAGTCCGACTGTATTTTTAAATAGTGTACTAGAAAATTGTTATATAACAAATACATATACGGGACAAACACATATATATATTATATATATATATATATATTAGAGCGCAATCGTATTGCGTTTTTTGAATGGAAAAAGGTAAGCTGGGCGCAATCGTGGTTCACCGCTTTTCATCGGTGGCGCAACTAGGGCTAAAATGTTGGAGGGGGGTTCGTAGCCCCCACCTGACATTACATAAAAATTAACCCGTATTGGCAATGCCCCCCACACCCCAATATATATTCGCATAAAAATATAATGAAAAACCATACAACGAAATATATTTTTTGTCACACATTTCACGCGCGTAGGTATACCCTGTACAAACAGGCACTGAAATCTATACCACGGTCGTCGGTCATTACAAAACATAAACTTTTGATTACATCTGTTAATCATATTACCTACCTATAATCTCCATGCGTCACGCTTAAAATAAATAAAACCAAATCGTTTCTCGAAATATTGTTGTCGTATAAATTATAGTCTAGTTGTTGCATAGATCCCTGCATTACCTAGGCCGTGATCGGTGAATGCGGATGAGTGACAAAAAATAGTATGTATGGCTCATGCGGGAAGGCAATTTCAATCTTAGGTGAAATGGCTCATTTCCCTTGCCACACAATAAACTATATTTACTCAAATTTCATTTTTCACAATAATATTGTATACTATGTTTGTGGTAATCAAAATAAAAATCATCGGATTACAATATTAGTTTATATTATACTCACAAACACATGAAAATTATTGAGCAAATATTTTTTAAACGCTATAGTGCACAAATATCACATGATTAATATTTAATTAGAAATATATACTTATAGTATAGGTATACCGTACAATACATCACTGGAAAGAAGAGAAAAAAACTAAATATTAAGTTATAAAAAGCGGGAGCAATTTTCATTGTTTTGTATTTATTGTGATGTAGGTATTTAATGCACCCAAAAATAATTTGTTTTACTCTCATTTAATATCAAAATACTATCAAAACCTAAAGACTCATGCACCAGCGCTAGTATGGGTGTTGAGGACTTATATAAAAGGAGACGTACCTACTAATCACTTCTTATACTGCAATGTTCATTGTTAGTTGTTGATGCTCACTTACAAACGCGGTTATACCGGAAAACCATTTTTAATTATTGTTGAAAGCATTTATTATCACCATTAGAAGAGTTCTAATAGAATATTTTACCGATGTTAATAAAGTATAAAATTGTTATCCAAGCGATGATGGGTGCGCGGGTGGTGATGGCGGACTTCCGGCAGGTGACAGGTGTGACTACGCGAGGCAAAACTACTGCGAATCATAATAATAAAAAGCGTCGACGATAAAGAAAAGTTTAAATAAAGAATATAGTTTATTAAAAATGATAATTCCATCATAACTCATAAGTATATAATATATTTTATATACATAATATGTGCATGTCATACCTATGATGTAATAACATGAAGCTGGTTAATGTTATACTCATTATTATTACTATATATACTTACTATTACTATACTTACATTATGATCAAAAAAATATTATATTATACTTGCTAGAAACGCAATCATATAATATTATGCGGTGTAACATATACGATATACAAGTTATAATATTTTTCATCAGTATTATTATACGATATTTTTTTCTAATATACCTACTTAAAAATTTTGAAGTATTGTTATTGTCTAAAAACTTTTAGAATTATTTTAATCATGACCTACCTATATATTTCCAAACACCTAAATTATGTATATTGTATAAATAATTAACTGTGGCTCGGTGTGGAGCGGTGTTTGCTTTCAGTCACGAATATGCTCTGAGAGTGTATACACCGGCTGGTGTCGCTAGTAGTTCCCCGGATGGGTGACCAAACGGGATTTTTAGTGACAAATCCTTGCCATATCCCCCGTCCCTTTCCCACAGTAGCAGGCTAATGACCTGATGAGTTATCGAAGCCTCAATTTCAAATAAAAATAAATAATTTATCTAATTAATAAAGCCAATAAAAATGTATAAACTTATTATTATTGGAATTAGGTATACAGCGTGACTTGATGTAGGTATAATTTAATTGTAATATATGTACAGGTATATATACCATATTATATTATTTATTAAATAGAGTTTAAAATCAATATAGGTAAATAAATTTATTAAATCAAATCCCAGTACCTATAATATAATATAATAATTGAACAATCTTAAAATTCCAACATATAGACACTAAAATTGTTTTAATCGATATTATAATAGCTGCATCATATTATGCTGGTTCCTGCAAAATATCGTTTTAACGTAATTACGAATGATAAAATAATGATTATATACAAGCAATTAACATTTTATCAGCATGTTATAATTTATCATTCGATTAGAATAATATTGTTTATGGATTACCTGATCATATAAAGTATGGTTTTTTTATACCTTTATAGTTTCGTTGAAACTTGAAAACTAGATAGAAAAATCCATAATACTATAATAATAATTAAAAGCATGTGGTAATCGTAAAACTGACCACTGTTGTTCCTATTACTCCCTTTTGCTATATAATATTAATATATTATATTATATACAGGTAAGAACTCAGATAGTCAGATCTAATATAATATTCTACAACATCTACAATCTACATATTATGTACATATATACATACCTAACCAATAAATAATAAGTATACGTAGGAAGATCGATCATTGGCGCGGGGGCCAGGGAACGACGTTTGTTGCGTCGCAACTTGCATTGTATATAGGTACATATAGGTATATGTATAGATATTAGATACTTATATAGGTAGGTTTAGGGTTAAAAAAATATGTTCTCGCCGTGCCACTGAACGCGGTAGGTCGCTTAGACGTATCTGTATTATGAACTTATAGTCTGGAAAGTGGTACAGTGGTATATAAATATACGGTATTATACCTATATAAAATATAGCCGTGGCGAAAAACTGCTGCGGCGCATATTGTTTCGCTAACGACCGGAGGGGGCGTCGAGAATTTATTTTTTTAAATAAGAATATCACGCATTTCATACTTGAAATTATTATTATTATGCAAATTGCGCGACGAAACTGTGCGGAAAAACACTGCGGCTAAAGGTACGACCTGCGTATACACATTGTATATTATAATGTATGTATAAACTCGCGCGGAAATTATTATTACGTATTATAATAATAATATAGCGGTCGTGTTGTGTTCGCGCCGAGACGGCGTTTAATGGGCGGGCGATGAACGTGCTTCATTGAGTTGGTGGGAGGGGGGTGGCTGCGGTTTCGGTTGCTCGTCGGTCGGTGATGACGCGGGGGGTGGGGGGGAGGACGGAGAAAATCAACGACGGGCCCGCACACATTATCGCCGTCGCCGCCGCGCTGTATTTGTGGGCAGCGTAGAAGCAGCGGGACGACGGGTGCACGCCCATCGGATCGAGCCCCTTCGAGCGGTCGGCCGGTCGGTGGTCGGTGGGGGTTGGGGGGGCGAGATCGATATCCGGACGGCCACGCCCCACCCCCCGCGGCCGCTGCCGGTGGGCTGTGCTCTGCGGGACCGAACGTCTCGACCTGCGCACTGGCCGCCGCCGCGTTTTAGTATCACAACGTTAACCCGACCGAACGGCCGCACACGCCGCGCACACACAGCACACGCACGTCGCACCGCGTACACGACGACCGACGACGGCGACGCAACCGTATACCAAACCTGTACCCATCAGTCGACCACGGGCGCGGTGATCGCATTCGCTATCGGCACGTCCGTTCCGTCGCCGCCGCGTTTTATTTTCCATAATTATATTATATTATAACGGAACCCACACCGCACGATATGGTCCGCAAGTCGACGTCGACGACGACCGCCGACGCCGCAGCCGTTCGCGTTTGACCCGCAGTTACGAAAATACGTTCCGTTTCGTCAAACGGTTTGCGAGTGTTTTTCGCCGTCTGCAGCATTAGGTGTATCCACGGAGTTTCATATTATTATAGGACCGCGGTTTGCTTGCCCTGTCCTGGTATACCGTGTCGTGGATACCTAGGTATATAATCCGTGCCGTCCGTTTTTCGTTACCGCTTCGCCGGCCGCATAGGTACGGTAACGATACCTAAACACCGGTAATAATATGATAATGGGCACGGCCAACCAGGAACAGCATCCCGCTAGCGCGATCAAAAAGCCCACGGACTTTTCGATCGACGCAATTATGCGCAAAGATGACGCCGCCGCCACTGCCGCCGATTCGAGACACAACATCATGTTCGGTGAGTGCCAAAATATTTTTGTATATTATAAATCTACTCGACTTATTAATGCATATAATATTATGTAAACAGTGTTTTATGTTTTTTTCGATGTTTACAACTCTTAGACCTAGACTAGGCACATAGTAATAGTAAATTGATAGATTTTAAATATCCACAATACCCTACGATATAGCTTTATTGTAAATACCTATATAATAATATAAGCCACAGTATTTTTATTAACTTGAAAGAAATTTAGTATTGCTACAACAATAACTACAGTACTCTTAAAATTTTTAAGTTTTGGTATTTATTAATTTCGTGTTTACATACTAAAAATGTCTAAAAAAAAAACTGTCGATATAATATTATCTAGTTACTGTATATTGTATCCTATTTATTTCAACATTCTATATTTTAATTCTAAGCTATACATTAGGTAGATACTTAATAAAAAAATACAAAACTATTTTGTCACAGGACATTTTGCGTATAAATTTCATTTTTATTTTGCTTTGTTGAAATTTTTACAAATATATTTGTTGAATGTGTAGGTATGTAGCATAATATATCGTTAAGAGTTATGCCTAATAACTTATAAATAAATATTTTAGTATAAATAAACTTTTTAGGCCACTAAAACAGAGGCAATATTATAAAATTTAATGATAATAATATTATTATTACCTATACTTACTTATTTTGATGGGCATAATAATATATACTATAGTACAATACTACAATAATACAATTATGATATTGTAATACTTTGGAATATTACCTATTTTTATACATAATAATACGACGATTAAACTCTGCAGAATATATTTCATACATAATTGCATATTTTCTTTATACTCCTATTTTACTTAATAATATTATTATCATCTAGGTATGTTTTTTGAAAACCAATCGAATTTCATTAAAATCAATGATGCTCAGTATTATAATTTATTTACCTTCTATTAGTACCTAGCTGGAATATAGTTATTTATATATGAACTAAATTTTTTTACATAGTATCTTTACATATATATTATTATTTTTGCTACAGACATACCTACTTATTATTATTTTAAATATTTAGTATACACCACAAATGTATATCTAATATTAAATATATATAATATATTGGTAGTAGGTACCAACTATTATAGTGCAACGTTGGTGAAATGTTATTATTTATTTACATATTACTATTGAATTTCGTGCAGGTACGGAGGGCGAAGGTTCGATGGGTGGGACTGAAGATTTGGACATTGAAGTGGACGTCGTCGAGACTTCAGAACCAGAAGACTTAGCCGCCAACCGCTATCATCGCCGGTCTTCGGCTGACGCGGGTAACGGAAAGCAAAATGGCACGGCTAGTGGTTCGAAGAAAAAGAGATGCCGAGAAACGGTTAGCGCTTCATCTGAAGATGGTGACCGGACACCGCCTCCACACGATTCTGCACAGGCCACCTCCAAGAACCTGGCAACAATGTTGGCAAAATGTACCAGTCCGGATTTGGCATCCACGGAATGCTACCTTGAGTCCGTCTCAAAAGAGCTCTGGTCCAAATTTCACGAACTGGGCACGGAAATGATCATCACCAAAACCGGAAGGTATGCATCATACTACATATATATGTAAAATAAATATATTATTACAAATTATATAGGTATTATTGTGTATAATTTGCCGAACGTATGATATATGTAATTATAGGTAATATAACGTTGGGTATAGGTATATTCGCATTTCATGGCAATACGCTCTTCAATAATTACTAAAACGTTACTTTCAATAATAGTACCACATTTTCCAAAACGTCATTATAATTTCTAGCTGCAAAGTACTTACCTATATATTATAATATGTCTGTGTGTGGATTTATCTTACAAATAATATTTTATATGCATATATTCCGTGGAATAAACCAATTTCTATATACAAGGACTTGAAGTGCCTAAAACAATCAAAATAAGCGCAGAGTTTTAAAATAAGAAAATAATATATTCAACATTTTTACTGCCCTCGCTTAAAAGAGCTGGTCGCCTCTTAAAATCTTCCTTTTTACTATTATTTATTACTTATTAGAACGTTGGAAATTCGGAATATTTTAACTTTTAAGTAAAGCGAAAGAAAAGCAAAATCTTGAAGTCCTGAACTATAATTAATGTCTGTATACAAAGTATATATTTATACCCTGTATAATACAATTATCAACCAAATATTTTTAATCTACAAAAATCTTGTTATGTATTGAAATTCGTGGATTAAAATTGGCCTAAAGGTTTTTTGTTCTTGTCCCTGTAATATGTATTCGATGCTAGTACAAAAACCTAATCGATTATAATCTATACCTATAGGTAACTATCTATATATATATTTATAAAATCTGTACAAAGTGATTGTAGTCGAGTTCACTATCGCTTTAATTTTCGATTGAGTTCATATTACGTGTATTATTACTTATTCCGTGGGTACCAGCTATTTACTTTCTTGAATTCTTTTCAAAAAATCATACTGATTTTTGACAGAGAATATGAATTAGATACACAATATTTTATGCAATCGTAAAAATAATGTTTTAGTAACATTGTTAGGCTGTAGTACTTATGCCTTCTTATACAATAATATAATAATCAATACTATTATCCCGTTGCATTAATATTCACATGGGTGGGTGATATATATACCTAACAATAAAATAAGAAAATATTATCATGAATCCATAAACAATAATACGACTCGTTAATTCGTATGAAAATAAAAAATATGCACTAAGTATTAGGCATAAGTTATTACAATATAGGTACCTATAAATATATCATTACCTATGCTGTATCATACGGTACCTATTATTGATTTGGTATTATACATTTTGGACGAGTTCGACAAGGGACGTCCATATAAAATAATATAAAACTGAATCGCGTGTTTATACGCATCGTGCATGCCCTGGCACACACATTCATAAATATAGGAATAAAAGTATACATAGAGGACAGAAGTTATTATTAATGACGTTTTATCGATGTTCCGAAACGACCCACCAACAGTAATAAATAATAATCTATTTATTATTTATAACAATTATTATATTAATATATTATTAGTCTTTTTTTATTGGGCCAATTACAGTCTTTAGAATTTCTATAATATCGATTCGTGTATACCCAATACCGCAGCCCGCGATAACATCAGATTTCGCATATTTACATGTACGAATGTACGATGGTCGTCATAACTTATTCACCCCACGTGTAACATTTTCAATCAAACACGGCGTGTACATTATAATTAGACCTATACATAATCTTATAATATTATTATATTTTATGTAAGCATCTATAATATGCTATACGGTACAGCCGTACGTTTCGTCTACCGGAACTATACCAACTATATATTAATATAATATACCTACTTGACCAACTCTAGGAACCAACTCGACCAACTCAATCGATAAAAAATGTTTGTAAAATATCATGTGACGATGACATTCCTTATATACGTAATACACCTATCCATATATAGGTTAACCGCTTATAGCTAACGGATAACTTGAAGGGACAGATGACGTCACGACAAAGGGTGTTATACCACATCGATCATATATTATTATGTTATAATAATATATATTATATTCTAATCGTGCGTTACCGCAGTTGATTTCGCCGCTGTAGGTCCACCTCGAGCGTATAATATATTATGTAGGTGCGTATAGGAGGTAGGTACATAATATAATATACCCATATGGCGATATCATATTTTATATATATATATTATATTTATATATTTCAACCGTACGACGTGTGTATATGACGATGATAAAATAATAATATAATGCGGCGAGCGGCTGCCGCGGCAGAAGTTAATAGTCCTCGTGAATTCCTCAAACGCCATAGCTGGTATAGGTGTACCGGTCTCTCGGAGGCGCGAGCGCGAGATACCGAGACAGACCGCCGCGTGTATAGAACGCGTATTATATATATTGTTATTATATTATTGTGCATACGTATAATATAATGCGTGTGTGTGTGTGAGTGTGTATATCGAACCAAAAGAGTAGCAGCACACACACAAACGCGCTCGCGCTCACACAAAAATACGTGTATTTATATCATATACGTATGTGTGAGTGTGTGTTTTGACGTTGTTAAAAGGCATATAATACAAGCGGCTATTGTCCCTTTCATGGAGAGATGATAAAACCACGCTCGTCAAGACCTCACACCGCGCCCCATCGGTTACGTCGCGCGATCCTCGTCGTTTATATATATTGTGGCTAAATACTTTGCGTCTCCCACGTGTGCGTGTGTGTATGTGTGTGTGTACAACTATACATACATACAAAAAAAACCGTGCACAATTCATTGTAAATAAACGATAGCTGGAGTATTTTTACGTTTTTCTCTCCGCGTACTCTCTCTCTCTCTCTCTCTCTCTCTCTCTCTCTATTATCGCTGTATCTCTTTACTCCTTCGTGTCTATTGTCCTCGGGAATAAGAAAAAACGTCACATAGTGTATACCCCCACCTTATCCTCAGCGTGTATCCAATAATATTAATATATATATACCCATAAGACCCGAAATCACGCTGTGCGTTTTTTTCCTCTGTCCGCACAAACCTTTCTGCCCGCGGGGTTGCGATAATATATCGTCCTTAACTGCAGTTTATCAATGTATGTACCTAATAGGGGCTATAATATATCCTTTCGGCGCAACACTCGTTACCCTTCTTGTAATCCTTTGCCGCCGCCGCCACCGTGCAATTCGTGCGCGCGACAATATAACTTGTTAGAAAACGATGGTTTTACCGCCCGACAGTATATAATATATATATTATATTATATATAGTCGCTATAATGCGCACGACCGACATACCTACCCGTTTTCCCCACGTAACCTGTACAACAGCGGTGACTCGGCCGTTTTATTATTATTATTATTATTATTATTATTCGGACGCATATCAATCGACAGTGCATTAGAGACGTATATTATATTATATGATAATATGTACGATAAATATATTGTAGACACATTATATGTTATCGTATTTATGTTCCTAAAAATGAGAAAATATTTTATATATACCCGCATCGAACGTCCACCTATAATCCCCGAGGTGCACGCACCGTAGGTGCGAGTTTGTCAGTCTTGTAAACGTGATACATGGCACAATGATTGATAAATTACCCTCAGACTCTTTCCTCTGTGCCTGTGATGTCGAGAACACAGAAATAATAACAACAGCATAATGTACAATAATCCCCGGAGATATGCAGCTACGTTGTCCCTGCACCCTAGCTCCACGACCCTACTGTCCACAAGACACCCACGAAACTTACATTTTGGGCCGTCCGTTAGCAGACGGTCGTGGCGTATAGGTAGGTATTTGCATAATCGCGGGAATGGTATCGTATTATTTATCCGTTTGTCTGTACATATCTACGAGTGTATATAAGTAAGCACGTGTCTGTTTAGGGAAATATTATGACATGACCCATGCCATAATATTAGTTATATGATATTATATGCTCTATTGTTGCAGAGAATAAAAAAGAGAATTCTATGCAATAATATACCTATAATAATAGTATAATAAGCTATTGCGTCATTCCCGTCTATTTATTTCGTGTCTTTACGTATACTTACTGCAATATATGTACACGAAGTCCCGAAGAGACTTAAGTGATTGTATTTAATTGTGTGAAATTATTTATGTTATTTGGTGTGTGTACTTAGATATATACAAATAATGTCTATACACACACAATATAATTTAACATCAGACATGAATCTATATAGGTACTAATATAAAATATTATATTATGATGAGCTTTGATTGTTCAAAAGTTTATAGGCCTGCAGAGACCTATTTTGGAATTTCAACACTGCAGATTTTCGTTCTTCGTGATTAACATTTAATGAGATTTTATATACAAGCCCCGTTATTGTGTAGGTTATAGTGTAATTCTTATTACTTTAATAATATATTTAAACGCAATAAGCAAGCACTTCTCGATAATAGTTGTAAATTGTAATATTATGTTGCTATACAACTGTAATAACTAAAATTTCAAATACCAACTACCTAGTACCTACTATTATCGCTTATGGATTATGAGGTTTATGTATGCCTTATACATAAAATATATGTTCACAAAAATATATCATACCTACTTAAAAAACGACCGAATTCGTTCATTCCGTTTGTGTAATTATAGGTATTATATAGGTTAATAATATATTATGTTTATCAAATATATTTACATAAATGGACCTATATATTTTCACAGAGATATTTTTTGAATTCGTTATTGTTAGGCTTGTCACGTCCGGTCTACGCTACCCGACGTCGAAAAATCCTGATTAATTATAATATAGAGTATTGTATTTTATAGAATATCATACAACTTATTGTGTGTACACTATACTTAATTTGAAGACTATTTAGGTGGTAATGATGTATGTTAACATTATTAACTTACAATAATATGATACCGCTGACGTGTATCTCCAGTAGGAGGTAAAATATACGGGCGCATTAGCCCGCGGTACCGCTGTTAGAAACACAATAATAATAATATATTATAATCAGCTATACCTACA